TGGAATGAGACCAAGGCAGAGCTGAAAGCCAAACTCCTCCGCAGGTGAGGACAGAAAATGTTTGTGCTGATTATAAACTCTACAACTCTTAATTTGAGACAGCACAAAATCTGTTTTGTTCCCCCTTTATACAATTCCTCGTGTGATTCCTGGGCTAATTTTGGTTGWTGGGGGTATTATCTACTAATATGATGAGTATGATTTGTTTATTTCTAATATAAGGTTTTTTTAATTTACTTTTATAGCTTTTCTATATGATTAGGAATTATTTATTGGTTAATTTAGTAGTTTGTTTATTATATTTTAGTATATGATTGGTATATTTGTAAAAGCGTATTTTTGCATGTTTTGTAGTTTTAAATTAATGTTTTTAGTATTTTGTATTTTTTTTAATTGTTTTTTGGTTTTGCTTCTTATGTTTTTTCTTTATGGTCAGCGTGAGGTACATGTTACACTGTTGTAGTTACATTTTTTTTTTAATTTATTTTTTTTTATTTTATTTTGCTTTATTTTGTAGTCTGGGTTGCTCAGTAATAGTAATTTATGCCCTCAAAAAAACCTGTYTAACAGAGATTCACTGAACTGAGATCCTTCTACCATTAGCCAATGTGTCCCTCATGGTTCTATTTCTTTCCCATGTTCTAAAAGTGCTTTGTGTCCCCTCACATCTCATCTCTTATCCTTGAAAGACAAAAAAAAAAAAATCTGTAGCGAACATTTCAAGCTTTGCTTCTCAAAAAGCAGGAGTTAAAAAAAAAAAAAACCCCATGGGTTGCAAAGGGGATTTTCTGCATGTCTTTCTGTKCTTCCTTTGATCTTTGTATTAATTTTCTGCAAGTCTGTGATTTTTGTGTGTTGCAGCAGGCTGGAGTTGGGAATTTGGCGTTCTAACCTTTTGCTGTTGGAATCTTGCTTTGTAGGATAGGAGATGAGGAAGAGGACAACAAACACCGGTATGTTGTGAYTTCCCTCAGCAATTTCCTGCTTTTCCCTGGCAAGTTTTTTAAAATAATAACTCTGGGAGTGTTTTCCTCTGCGCTGAGTTTTTTGTGAAAACCCCCAGGAGATCTTTGGGCTTCGAGGCTCCTCAGGCTTCATCTTGGTTTGTATTTCTGTGATCTCTTCCATCTCTGGAGAGCCTCAACTGTGGCTTTAAAGCCCCCTTTAAAGTGTGTGCCCTTCCTTGTGCCTCCATATCCTCCTTTTCCCCTCATTCCCATCCTGTTACCAAAGTTAAAAAAGCTGATAATTGGATGAGAACTGATTTATTTGGGCAAGAAGAAGAAAGGAGCATGAGAAAGGAGCACATCAGTTACAATCTCTCTGTCCTTCACTGGTGTTTGTATTTCAGGAGTTTCAGTTGGACTGGGGCTCCTGAGTCTTGTGTGGAATCTTCCATCTCTGGAGAGCCTCAATTTCTCTTCTGGTTTTTGTTCTTGAGTTCCTCTGCTGGGCTGGCAGGGAGGGTGTGGTAAAGGGAATTTGTCACTGATAAAAATGGACTGCAGGAAATGATTTGTCCATTATCATTTTACAAATGCTGCAGGGGGGAGTGTGTTCCCCACTAAATCCATGCTGCAAAACACATCATCAGGATGGATTTGGCAAAGACTGACCTCTGCAATATTATCTTCAAAATGAAGATTTTCAAAATGATTTTCCTTTAGCTGCAGGAAAAGCAGTGTAACCTCAGTCAGAAGTTGCTGTTTGTGCTCTCTGAGCAATGACTGAACTGCAGTGAGTCCCTGGAGCTGCTTTTTCCTCATCAGAAGTTGGGAATCTCTTCYCTGCCTGTGCCTGTGAAGGGTTTCTGATGTATCTGATGTTTGCTCAGTGTAAGGCACTGTAGGAACACCGAGGATTATTTTCCCTCCCTGAGCCTATTACCCAGCAGAGAAGCCTCTCTCTCAACCTGAGCCTCTTGCACAAGATCCAGATAATTTTTTTTTTTTTTGCTTATCTCTTCCGTGTTTCCTGGATTATTCCAGCATTATCCTGAAGCAGTTTTGAAGCTGTTCAATACTCCTTAGCAGTACTTTCTCCTGTGCTTATGTCTTTCCAAGACRTGGTTTTACTTGAAGCCTGACTTTTCTCAGCAGGGTGGAGGGATGGGATTCACCTCTGCCCAAAACCTCTTCACAGTTGTAGCTACTTAATTTAAGTCACTTTGTGGTCTGTTCTTCAAAGAGTACAAATGCTGCTCTTTTTTTGCCAGCTCTCTTGGAAAAACGGAGCTTTTAAACTCTGCAGAGAGGTGTTATTTYTTTTCTAAGGTCACTCAGGCTTAGTTACCTTAAAAAACCCAACTTTGTTTACTTTATGGCTTCAGCAAGAAGCTGTTTTAGTGCAGCCCCCACCAGGCCATTTCTGAATTCTGTCAGACAGAGCAGCTGCACTTCTGGAAGCACTTTCTTGAAATGCTGAGAGATTTCTGCCTCTCTCCCCTCACCTCCTGAGTGAGAGAAACGTTGCAAACCTGATTTTTTTTCTCTCCTGTGAGCACAAAACCCCGTTCCATCACTTTCTCCTGGTGTTTCCACACCATACAAATAAACCACATTTTGCTCCAGAAAATTCCAGCTGCATGGCAAAATCTTAACAGCTTTATCCTCACCTCCCACCTTTCTTTTCCCTGCTGGGGAAGGTGCTGTGTTTTTGGGAAATGGGTGATCCTGGTGGGTTCAGCCCCATGTTCCTGCTAATGACTGTCCTGCAGGTGTGAAGGCACCAGCTCTTCTTGGAGGGCCACCATCTGCTCAGAGTCTGGCAATTAGATGGATCAATCTGTTTTTCTATTCATCATTCCTCTCAGGTTGAATTTTTTTTTTTTCTCCTCCCTTCTTTGTTGGTTTAAAGGCTGATTAAGGGCTCTTAACTGTGTTGTGCTCCAAATCTAATTAGAGGCTGAGTTTTTCTGGGTTCTGAGGAGGATGGGGGAGCTGCTTTTCAGTTTTTCTAGACTTCAGGGCTGATGAGTAAAGTGTGTTTTACTCTTTGTCACATCGTGGTGGATGTGAGGCCATAAGGAAAATGAGGCTTTCAACCAAAGAAGTGCCTACACACCAAAAATGGGGTAAAAACTGCAAGTTTCTGAATCAGTTCTTCTGGAAAAGGAGAGCTTGTTAGGTTTAAACCTAAAATTCAAGSAGCAATTTTGTGGATTCTGTAAAAATCTGCACTGGGATGGAGTTCCTGGGATTTGGGGCTGTGCCAGTGATGGTAAAACTCTGAAGTTTTGGCTGTTGCTTGCACGGTGTCAAGGCTTTATCTTGTCCTATTCTGGCCTAGCAGGACCCTGGGGGTGGGCAGAGGTGGGGAGGGGAAATTCTGTGCCATAAAACATTATGGGGAGCAATAAAAACCAGGAGAGAGGGCGAAGGAGGGGTTTGGTTTCTGATTTTCCCAATTTTAGGGCCATTGCTGTGCCTGGAGGGGTGGTGAGTGGATTTCCTGGGCTTCTTTCTTTCTCTTTTTATTCTTTTCTTCACTTTTTAAACTGCTTTTTCTTGACTTCCAAGTTTCTGYCTCTTGTTCTTCTGGCTTTTCCTCCCCATCCCTCTTGAGCAGCAGGGAGTGTCTGTGTGGGTACTCAGCTTCCTGCAGCTCCCAACCCAAAAATCCTGTCCTGCCTTCCAAATTCACATTTTTCTTTGCATTGTGGCTCCTGTAATCTTTGCCTCGATGGCACTGACTTTAAAAAGAACSAACAGCATCGCTATTGCCTCGTTAATATTTGTCTGTTCTCATTAATATGCACATTTTTCAGTTAGATTTCTTCAAGGCCTTCGGACTTTCTGAATTTGCTGCTGCAAAATCATAGGCTGCCTATTGATTTTGCTCTGAGCATTCATTATGGGGTGTTTTTTTTTGGGAACTGGCAGTGCTGGCTAATGTCTCAGAGCTGCAGGATGATGTTTTGCAGGCTTCCAGCAGTTTGCCAAAGGGAGGCACGGCCGGAATGAAAAGCAATAATGGAGCGGAGGCAGAGGATGAAAGAGAGATTTAAACAAGTTTTCATCTGGATTTTGAAATACAAGCGAAATAGATTGAAAACACAATTAAAATCACTTTAACTGCAGCTCGGGAGCTTCCATTAGTAATGGTAGGAAAAAGCTCTTCAGGAAACCCAGACAATTAATGGCTGCTGTGAATGGATCTTAAATGTTGTGTTATGCAGGGTTCATCTGTTCCCTTTCAGATATCTCTTCTGCCCTGTAGCTATTTTAGCTACCTTGTGTTTTCTCTCCAAAGCAGATCTTTTTGTTTCGTATTCAGCTTTTTAAGTCGGYGATGGTTTTCTATTTTGAAGACTGTTCTTTTATGTCAAATCACACTTCTGTTGCTTTCAGGTCTCACAGAAAAAGGAGTCAACCCAGAAGACACAAAACAGAGGATCAGAAGTCTCTTGGGGATGTCATGGCTATTGAAACTGCCTTGGAAGATGTGAAAGTAAAAGAAGAGCTGAAAAGGGGGCCGGATCTGGAGGAAGAAGAGAGGAGCAAAGGGATGGAGGGAGAAGGTGAGGTCAGATCACTGAGGAGCTGGGGCGAGCTCTAAAACACCTCTGTAAATAACTTGTCTGCTGCTGTTTATTTCTCTTGAAATATCAGCAGAGTTTTCCCCAACATTAAATCTCTGCTCACTGAAATATGCCGTCATTCACAGCARCAATTGATTTTTCCCTCTCGGTGAGGATTCAATCCAAATAGCTTTTTTGGCAGGGCTTGAAAATTCTGTAGGCCCAAACTATTGCAGGATTGTTAAAACATATATTATGTGAGGAATATTTTGAATTATTTCCCAGAGAAACACATAAATGTATTTTTGTGTCCTGCTCTGAACAAGAACAATTTGGGCACTGCCTTGTGCAATTTATCTTTCCTCTTCCCCCTCCCTTTGTTCCTGTTTGTCACAGAGACTGATTTTGGGTGGGATCCACGAGTCCCATTTGGGTTTCTTCAAGTTTAGCTGGAACAGGGGAACTCTGCAGCTTCCTCTGCATGAAACACAAAACCTTTATTGCAAATAAAACCAGCCCGTGGTAACTCCCAATCCTTTGGGATTCCTTTTGCACCTTGAGTCCCAAAATCTGAACACAACCATCAGGCTCTTTCTGTGGCACTTTTTTCTTGGCTGTGTAGAGAGGATTGGGAGTTCTTGCTGGGAAGAAACTGCTTTTTTCCCCCCWAATGTGTGGTTTAAGTGTTTTTTGTGTCTGTGGCACACTCACTCCCTCTTGGAGGCTTCTCCAGCAGTGCTTACAGTGAATTAATTTACATCTATTCTATAGATCCATTATTTGTTTAGCATTTGGGGAAACTGATGCTGCAAACTGTTGGGGGAGCCTTGGTAATGATCTTAAAGGAAATCTGTGGAAGCTCTGGGGAGAGAATTGAGGGCTTTGTTCCGAGTCTCTCATCTAGGCAGTGTATTTTYTCTTTTCAGGGGAAATAAGGAGTTGGAGAACCATTGTTGCACAGTGCAGATACTTAATTTCTATTGCCCTGAGCCTGAAAGCATCAGCAGTGTGTTAAATTGTCTGCTCTTAGCTCTTGTACAAGTTTAACACTTGATGCTTGTAATAAATGGCCCGAAAATGCTGATTTTTCTTCGGAGACGAGAGATAAGTGACAAGGACAGATCTGAGATCATTAGAATGGCCAAGGAATAATAAAAACTCTGCTCTAGCTGAATGGCTTCCAAATCATACACTTCCACTCCTTCTCGAGAGCTCTTTAACTGTTAGCTCAGGAGGGAAAAGCTGATTTTCAGCACCACTGCAGAAGTGCCACTGGTGCAAACTCCAGCTCGGCGTGGCTGTTAGCAAATATTCAGCTTTTCCTGCTGCAGCACAGCAATTAAATCCCATTGACTCCTCTGGTTTTTCACATCCTGCTGGCTGCATTGCCTCTCACCAGTGTCTCAGGGTTTCATCTTGAAGAASAAAACAGTTTGCATGGCCCTGCTTGTGGTAATTCCACTCCCTCCACCTCCTGCCCTTCCTTTTTTTCTTTTTTTTCCCTGGCTTGAATTTGCCTTGATTTTCTGTTCCACCAGTAGAGATGACCTTGAGAAGGAGAAAGGATGAGATTTCAAAGCAGTCAATGGTTCCAAAGTAGGTCTTGTGCTTTGTGTTGGTTATTTGGACAAGCTGGGTATTTATAACTCGAGGTTTTCAGGATTTCTGACCCAGATCCCTTACGGTGTTTTCTTGTGGTTTTTATGACTCAGCTTTATATCCATAATTTATCACGTTGCTATGAATACGTTCAGGATTCTCTGCAGGTTGTCTTGTGGGGTTTGGAAGGAGAGTTTGGAGGCTTTGCCCTTCTCTGGGTGAGTCAGCAGCTCTTCCCCATGGGGCTGTGCTGGGAAGGGCCCTGCAAAGCCACTGAGTGCCACCTGAGTGACCCCAAACCCCCTGAGTGCCACCTGAGTGACCCCAAACCTCCCTGAGTGTCACCTGAATGACCCCAGCACCTCGCTGAGTGTCACCTGAGTGACCCCAAACCTCCCTGAGTGCCACCTGAGTGACCCCAAACCTCCTTGAGTGACCCCAAACCTCCCTGAGTGACTCCAGCACCTCCTTGAGTGCCAACTGAGTGACCCCAAACCTCCCTGAGTGACCCCAAATCTCCTGAGTGCCACCTGAGTGACTCCAGCACCTCTCTGAGTGACTCCAGCGCCACCCTGAGTGACTCCAAACCTCCCTGAGTGACCCCAAACCTCCCTGAGTGCCACCTCAAGGGTTGGGGACTCCATACCTCCCTGAGCAGCCCCTTCTGATGCCTCCCCACCCTTTCCAGGGAGAAATTCCAACCTGAATTTCCCCTAGAACAGTTTGAGGCTGTTCCCCCTTGTCCTGTTGTTCTCTGGGAGCAGATCCCAACCCTCCTGACTGTCCCCTCCTGGCAGGGAGTTGTGCAGACCCAGAATCTCCCCCATTTCTCCAGGCTGAGCCCCTTTCCAGCTCCCTCAGCTGTTCCCACTTTCTGATTTCTGTTGAGAATTTCAGATTCTCCCTGGCCAGGCAGCTCAGCTCTGCCACACGTGCTCTCCTCATGTCCCAGCTCTGCAGTGAAAGATCAGGATTGACATTCCTCTCTTAACCGACCTGTGGATTTGTGCCTTCAGGTCCTTTTCCTTCCTAGAAATGTTCAGGATAAGCCAGACAGGCTCTTGGAATTTTGCCTTCCTTTTTTCCCGGCTTCTGATTCCACAGATTTYGCTCACAAACTCGTTTTCATCTTGATGCAAAAACTTTCAAGCACAGTTCTCAGTGCCAGCTGCTGTCAAATTACCCTTTGGAAGTCAATAAAGCTGGTGAATGGCATTTGTGGTGCTGCTGGGGAGAGAATTCTTGGAGTGGATAGAGAGTAAATATGATCTGGTTTTGTGCAACTGGGGAGAAATCCAATTTGCCTTTCATTCAATATGTTTGTTTCTCTAAGGAAATTCAATATTCCCTTTCTCTGTGATAGAACAAACCAGTTTATCTGAGGGACTGCCTACACAAGTACAACTGTAATTATTTGTGCTGGACTCGTTCYCATTTTTATAAGTTAGTGTAAATAAAGTGATCAGCCTGCTGGGAAATGCTGGGGTTAAGGTGTTCCCTTGGGGATTTCAGCAGGGATTTTGGCACTTGATTCTGTTGTGGGATTGTTCATCCTTCTTCCTGGGTGAGGGTTATTCTGATTTCCCATTTGTGGGTTGGACTGGTCAGGTTTGGTGTAGCCTGAAATTGAGGGGTCTGGATTGGTGAAACTTCTTCATTGGGGTGTCCCTGATTATCCCAACCTCYTCAGCAGAGAGCAGGAATTGTAAAAATCTCTGGAAAATGGAAATGTGTGGATCCCTTCACATGGAATGAGRGGTGGGGAAGGCTTTTCCAGGCCACTCGTGCCTCTGGTGCCAATATTGAGATGTTTATCTGCTCCACGAGTGTTGTCACATCCATGAGGGCTGTGCAGATAAACTGAGTGACACAGAGCTGGGAGAAACAAGGACACGAGTGTGAGTAAAGGATATCTCAGCATCCAGCTGAGCTCAGTGCTCCACCTGATTTATGCTTGAAAGGCATCTTTTTCAAAGGCTTGCTGGCAGAAATCTTTGGGTCGTAATGATTCAGGTATCTTTGTTCAGTTCTTCATTTCCTGGGGCTGTTGGGTGCATTGACACACATAATACCCAGATAAGAGCTGTGCTTGCAAACTCCTGATACAGAGTGGGGGTCTCCAAACTGTTTGGATTGCACCTCCTTATCACCAGAAAAAAGAAATCAGAGCGTGCCTCCTGATGGATGTCTTTATTTATGTACATATTTATTATATACAGCACAGAATTCCACGTGTACTTGTGTATTTCTGTGCTGATACGCCCCTTATGAACATCCAGAAAAACAGAGATTAAAAAAGGAAGGTGTGAAGCTAAAAGAATCCTGAAAAAAAATCCTAAAATAAAATATTTATTTTATTAATGGGACAAGAAGATTCCCTTCCTGCACCCCAGTGGATGATTTTGTGTCCTTGACTTTGGGGGACAAAAATCTTGAGTCATGGCTAMTGGGACATATTCCTGTTTTTTTGGCACATTGTCCAGTTTCTTAGGGATTTAGGTTATTTCCCTCCAGGAAACATTGCTTTTCACAACCTTTGTGCTATGATCAGGAATTTAACAGTCTGTAGAAACAGCACAAATGTTTTCTTTCTGTAGTGTTTTCTTTCTGTAGTGTTTTCTTTCTGTAGTGGGCTTCTCTAGGCCGGTGCTGAGGCACTGTGTAGCTTTCGGTGTGCAAAAAAACTACGTTTGGTGTGCAAAAACCTGCATTTTTGGTGTTGGAAAGCAAGAACTCCATGATTAACGTGTTAAGATGTGTTAAATCAGTTAGCACTGAGCTCTTAGACAGGAGAGAAATGTGAATTGTTGTAATTTTGGAGCTCAGTGTCTCCTCTCTCTCCACACAGGCGAGTGCAAGGCCAAGGCGCGGCCCCCAAAGGCCAAGGGCGAGAGGAAGAAGAAGCAGAATCCCCCATTCCCCCAGCACACCCCAGCAGTTCCCCAGCCCCCTGCCCATCCTCCAGGCACCGGTGCCACCCCTCAGCAGCCACCAGCCGAGGACGGGGCAGTGACATCCCGGCCCCCGGGGCCTCCCCCGGGCCCGGTACCCGAACAGGCCCCGGCGCCGCTCAACGTGGTGGTGCCGCCCTCAGAGGCGCCGGCCGAGGAGGACGATTTCAAACCCCGGCCCATCATCCCCATGCTCTACGTGGTGCCCCGCAGCAAGAAGGTGGTGTTCGACAAGGAGCACATGTCRTGCCAGCAGGCTTTCGAGCAGTTTGCCACGCAGAGGGGCCTGGGTTGGCGTGAGCAGGGGGCACTGCCCGGCCCTGCCAAGGATGGAGATGGCAGCACTGAGGCCGAGCACAATGAGGTCACCACGGAGGTTAGTATGTCCCTGGGTGATTCCAAAATAAATGGGGACACAGCACGGTGTAGTGGGTGGCAAAGAGCACATATTGTGTTCGAGCAGTTTGCCACGCAGAGAGGTCTGGGTTGGCGTGAGCAGGGGGCACTGCCCGGTCCTGCCAAGGACGGCGATGGCGCTGAGGCCGAGCACAACGAGGTCACCACAGAGGTCAGTGCATCCCTGGGTTATTCTAAACTAAATGCGGACACAGCATGGTGTAGTGGGTGGCAAAGAGCACATATTGTGTTCGAGCAGTTTACCACACAGAGGGGCCTGGGTTGGCGTGAGCAAGGAGTGCTGCCCGGTCCTACGAAGGATGGAGATGGCGCTGAGGCTGAGCATGCCGAGGTCACCACAGAGGTCAGTGCGTCCCTGGGTGATTCTAAACTAAACGGGGACACAGCGTGGTGTAGTGGGTGGCAAGGAGCACGTGTTGTGTTTGAGCATTTTGCCACACAGAGGGGTCTGGGTTGGCGTGAGCAGGGGGCACTGCCCGGTCCCACCAAGGATGGAGATGGCGGCGCCGAGGCTGAGCATGCCGAGGTCACCACAGAGGTTAGTGTGTCCCTGGGTTATTCTAAACTAAATGGGGACACAGCATGGTGTAGTGGGTGGCAAGGAGCACATGTTGTGTTCGAGCAGTTTGCCACGCAGAGGGGACTGGGCTGGCGTGAGCAGGGGGCACTGCCCGGCCCTGCCAAAGACAGCAATGGTGGCACCAAGGCTGAGCACAACGAGGTCACCACAGAGGTCAGTGCATCCCTGGGTGATTCTAAACTAAATGGGGACACAGCATGGTGTAGTGAGTGGCACTGCTGCCCAACTGTCATCTTTAGAGCCCTTTCCAACCCAACCGCATTCCGTGATTCGCGGTTTCTGTGGAGTTCCCAGCTGCGTGTGTGTGATGGAGCAGGCTTTTCACAAGCTGGTAGAATTGGCAGCTTGCAGATGTTCTAAGCTTGTACAGATTCAAAGAGAACTCTGTAGTTTACCCAACTTCTTAAGAGTTAGTGTTGGCTTTTAGTGTCTGTTCCAGCGCTTGGCTCGGAAGGCGTCAGCGGTTCAGCCAAAAGGCAGAGCAAAGTTTGCTGTGCAAGTCCAAGAACTCTTGATGACAAAAACTGCCTCTCTTGTCCGGTTCCCTCCTCGTGGTGCCAATCCAGCTTGTTGTACTTCCTTCCAGGCTGCTTCTGCCTTCTCCAAGATGAAGATGGAGATCAAGAAGAGCCGCCGGCACCCGCTGGGCAAACCCCCGACCCGCTCCCCGCTGTCTGTGGTCAAACAGGAGACCTCGAGTGATGAAGGTGAGTGAGCACTGTGGATGTCCTGTATGACCCAGGGGATTGCTGAAATGGCAAAACTGGGTGGCCTGAAACTCTGTGTATTACACTTAACTGGTAGGAAAAGCWGCGTGTTCCCATTTTGATAACCCAGCTGGAAACAAAACTCCTCYGTGGGAGGTGTCACTTCTCACCTCCCACCCTTTCTTCRCTCGAGAGAAATATTTTGCTGGCTGCAGAGTGAGGCAGCGTTTTGGGCAAAGGGAAAAAAGGGTTTGGAGAAAATAATATCTTAAAGGCAAAGCTCTGTCTTGGATATTGCAGTGGGATGAGATTTGTTTCCCTTGGAGGCAGTGGAGGCCAGGTCTGCTCTCATGTGCGTGGGGAAAGTCAGTTCTAACCTTTTGGTTGAATTAATGTCAGTGTTTGGGGCCCAATTTTTCTTGGCAGATGCAGAAATGAGAATTCAAATGTTTCTCGGTGTTTAACTGTACTTCTCTGATCCTCCTTTTCCCACACTCCCGTCCCTGTGAATGTCCCAACAGTCTGGACTGAGGGCAAAGAAAAGATTCTTACTTCTGACTCTGTTTTGTGGTGTGATTTCTCACGTTGGGGCCTTTCCCACGTTACAGGTTATTGGGTTACAGTAATTGAGTAAAAATCTGAGTTACAAAATACTCAGAATATGGACAAACACCCAGTCAGGAGCTTTTGTGTGCTGGGGCAGGGCCATGGGTGTAGCTGGCAGTGCCTCCTCTCAACTCTTTGTTCCAAAGGACAGTATCTTTCCCCTCACATTCCTTCATTCCTAAATGGATTCCTAAAATCCACAGATTTTAGAGCMGCTTCCTGCAGGAAAGGCTTCTCCTGAACACACAGAGCTGCCCTTCCTCACCAAAGAGGGTGCATTTGATGCCTTCCAAGTGGGTAAAATGGAGTCTGGAGAGGCAGCTGAGATTTGTTCTCTTGTTTTGGTGTGAGACCTCAGAACCAGCTCTGTGCTGGAGGATCCTCATTAGGCAGATTCTTCTCCCTGTTTTGATTCATTGGGTGGTGTTTGGGGACTYGGCTGGTGGAGCAGGAGCAGCTCTTGTGAAAGCTGCCATTTCTTGGGGACTGATTTACAGCTCTGCCGGGCTGAATCTGATCAAACAGATTCTTCCCTCCCCACCAGGGAATTGCAGCAGCTCTCTGCACTCCGGRTTTTTGCAGGGAATGATGTGCAAGGATGGTCTGGAGGCAGCAGGAGGAACAGGGAGCATTTAAATTAAAGGAATGCACATGCTGCACAAAGATTCAGCCCAGACAAATTGTTTGTCTCTTCCACTTGCTTGCGATGTGGGAGCCATCCTGAATGCCACGTGTCCCCCTGGATCCATCCTGGGAGGAGTGAAGGTGATAACATACGACAGCCATTCCCTTTTTTCTCTCCCTCTGTCACTCTGGATTAGGCTGCTGCTTTCACTGATTTCACTGGGACCATAAATCCTGGCCTGTCACCTGATGTGCCTCGACTGAAATCTGGAGAAACGTGGCTTTTGGTTCATGGCTTCAAAATAAACAGGATGAGACACTTTTTAGGAAGTAGTCCTTGTYTGAAATATGACAGAGCCACACAGCCAGCACTCATCACCTCAAAAAAGGGATTCATTAAACACAATAAGATTTCCACATTGTCTGACAAATACGTTATGGGCAACATTTAAAATCYGAGATGTAAACTCAGCCTTTAATGTTTTACCCCCAAGTTCTTTTTATCCTTTCAGGTAACCCAGAGAGTCAGAAAATCTTCAAAGGGAGGGAGAATTGGGGAGGAGACTTAGACTTGTAGAGCAGAACATAAACAGCTTATTTCCAGTAATTAACAGYGAAGCAGTGAACAATTTGGTTTAATGTGCTGAGCTCTGGGGATAATGTTCTTCCAAGATGTTTTTGAGTTCCCTGTTCTTTTGGAAACTTTGCAGATTGGTGATGCAGGGAGTGATTTATACTCAGCCTTGTGTGGAAAATTTCTTTAGCACTTACAGTGATTCAAAACTCCTTCRTAAGGAAGGGTAAGAAACTTGGACCCCCAGCCTGCCACAAATGGATTCTGCTGTGGTTTAATCGTGAAATGCCGAGGACTTTTTAAAGGTTTATAAAATGGAGAATTAGCAAACTAATTAGCAGAGCTCTGGCAGAGGGAGGGATGGTGGGGAATGCAGGTGGGAGGTTTAATGGTGTGGGAATGGCTGTACCAGAACCCACAGTGTTCCCAGTGGGCAGAACTGGTCTGGGATGAACCTTGGGAGGAATTGGGGCAGACTGGGGGGATATTGGGAGCTGCCTCCACACCTTGGGAGACAGGAAATGGGGATTTCTTTGCACTGGCATCATGTGTTTTGAATTATTGAAGTTCAAATTAAATCTTYGTTAAAAGWASGRTGGAGGTTTCCACAGCTGGAAAGGRGAGGGAGGTACAAAGGCARTAAATCTGAATTCTCTCCTTCCTCATGGACAGATCCTTCAGGTCATTGCTGTCCCCATCTTGTGTGTCCTGTCCCCAAAGGGGGGATTTTGTCAATTTAAGAAGTATTTGAGGCATAGGCATGTGAGAGACCATGGAGGATTTGAATGTTTTTATTTATTGCAATTCTTGAGTTGTTGAGACCTAAACTGTTTAACTCAGCCTTGCTCCTTTTGCCTCTTTTATCCATAAACACTTTTGCCCAACATTTTGGGATTTTTTTTTTTTTTCATTCTAGAAACGTTCCCATTTTCTGGAGAGGAAGACATGAGTGATCCAGAGGCTTTGAAATCTTTACTTTCCTTCCAGTGGAAGAATAAAGCACTTAATTTCCCAGCTGAAAGGAAGTTCAATGCAGCTGCTGCCCTGAGTGAGCCATACTGTGCTGTCTGCACCCTCTTCTACCCCTATAACCAGGTAATTCCTCACCACAGCATCAGGGAATCATTCAAATAGGGAAAAACCTCGAGGATCAGGTTCTCCACCACTAAACTACTTTCCCCAATCTGTATCCACATTTTTTTTGGCATCCAGGAATGGTAATTCCACCAATTCTTTGGGCAGCCATTGCCTGACCACACTTYACATGAAGAAATTTTTTCCTAATTTTTCATCCAAACGTCTGACACTGCTCTGATGGATAAATTAGGATGGAGAAATTTCTGACAGAGAAACAAAGCCGTACAAATTTGCACACCAAAGGAATGTGTTTGGATTTGGCAGTGGTTGGAGCATTTTTCTGTTCTCTTTCCTGGCTGCTCTGGTTTTCTCAGTGTTCATTTTGAAATCACACTTGAAGAGCTTTGCAAACACTGTTCAGAAAAAAGTCACACCAGGCTCCTGTTCCCATACGGGCCYGGGTTGCTGAATTTATGCAAACAAGCCACAAAATAAAAATTTACTGAGTAAGCACATCCATCATCTTTTTTTGGAAACCACCAATATGCTTTGGGAGATGTTATGAGCAGGCAGGCAAAATTYATCAGATGAATTAGTTATTTGTGCAGTTGTGCATTGATTTCTTCTCACATAAAACCAAATCTGGCTTTGTGTGCCCACCAGGAATTCGTGCCTTAGCTACTTGTAGATGTGTTKGAAGCTTTTTCTGAGAAAAGCAAAACCCACCTCACCCTTCAACAAAATCTCTTGATTTATTATACAGACTGGAAATAAAATATMTGTTCTGATTGCTGGCTGTTGTGAGGAAAACTGGGTGCAGCTGAGCTGGTTTAATCCATTGCTTTTAACTCTGTCTGCTCCCAGAAACCTTGAAATGTCCTTCAGGAGAAATTCTTGCAAGAGAAGTAGGGAAGGATGCCAGAAGAATGGGAGAGGGGGAGGGAAAGTCTTGTTTTTAGCAATGTTTCCCTTTTTATTTTTCCTTGGTGTTTTCAGCTGCAATTTAGGAATTTAGATTTTTACAGGAAAAAGTAAAAAACAAAACAGGAAAAGCTGCTCATTGTTCTAACGCTTCTTTGGGTTTTCACAACAAATTACAGATCCTGGTAGRTGCCTGAGGGAGAGAGGCAAGGCAGGGGTGGGAATGAGGATTTTAGGTGATTTTTGGCTTTCTGGTCTCAGGTGTTGGGTGATTTTTTTTTGCCAGGGGAGTGCTCAGAGATGGAAGTTGAAGCTGTGGCCAGGGAGAGGCGATTCCATTGATGKTTTTTCTCTCCAAGTCCTTGCAGGTGGAGAAGGAATCCACCCCCATCTCCACAGGGGAGCCGTCCTCCTTCGTGCACCTTTCCAAATGTGGACAGAAGAGCAAGCCCCTGATCCCAGAGATGTGCTTCACCTCCAGTGGAGAAAACACCGAGCCCCTTCCTTCCAATTCCTACATCGGAGAGGATGGAACCAGTCCCTTGATATCCTGTGCCAAATGCTGCCTGCAGGTTCATGCTAGTGAGTGTTGCACCTTCCCCAGAGCATTTGGGTCCTGAGGAGCTCAGCATTTGGGTGTTGCTATGTTGGAATAGCAGGTTTAAATCCTGTCACTCCCATTTTTATCTCTCTTTGTACGAATTTATTGTGGAGTCTCAGAATGGTTTGAAACCCATCCCATTCCCATCCCCTGCCATGGGCAGGGAACTTTTTTCTCTAAGGCAGATTTGTGTATTCAAGTGCATCTTGGCAGTCACTCATCTTAAAAAAATACACACCAATATTCTTTTTACTGCTAATTTTGATTCCTCTCTGTCTCACAGCAAAGATTCTTTCTTTTGATGCCTTTCATTTTTTGGTAATAAAGCAAAACTCAAAGGCTTTATTRCACTCTTTTCTCTCAAATATTTCGTTCCAATATTGCTCTGCTGGGGGAGGCTGCATTGTTCCTGCGTGCAGCAGAGATTATGGAACATTTTGAGATAGATTTTATTAGTGTCTCTGATAGTGTTTGTAGTAATGGCACTTGATTACAAAAGGGAACATATGTCTGTTTGCTTCCCTGATAGTTATGTCTAAAAGAAGATCTGATTAATCCTGGTGGAGTGTACCTTCAGTGGAGATTGTACAGCATCCAGTTAACATTTGTGACGAATTACTCTTCAGCTGTTTGATCTTGACAGATGGGGGAATCTTATTTGACTTGCATCAGCTGGAATTACTTCTGTTGTTCCAATTTTAGAGTCCTGCAGGTCCCCRTGCAGCTCAGCAGGGATGGGGAGCAGGAAAGCAACTTTTGTTTCTCTGCTGAATCCCTGATTATGGTCATTSCTGGCTAATAAGGCTGTGGGATGTGGGGTGGGTGTGAGGAAGGAGATTTCATCCTTCACAATTCAGGGATGCTGCATCTGCTCCATCCATGAGCCTGCAATAGTCCAGTCTATCAGAATGGTTTCAGTGGCCAAATTCTGTTTAAGGACAGAGGGATCTGCACAAGATGCTGTTAATCTGCAGGCTCAGACTTGAAATCCATCTTTTTTTTTAGAGAAACTCAGCTCTATATTCTGGCTGTGCTCTCCCTGTGAGGACAGGACAGGATGGGTGTTGAGACTCCAGTCCCTGRTTGTTTCCTTGTGCTCTGTGACATCCCTTTGACTTTGCTGCAGAGGATCCATTTGCTTTTATTGCAGGATTGCAGTGGTGAGGTGTATTTTGGCTGCCTGTAAAACCAGYTGGCAGCCTGTGTGTTCTTGGGAAATGCCCTCCCCAAGTGTGCTGGGTTACAGCAGCCAGGCCCTGCAGACAGGGGGAGGTTTGTGAAGGTTTCTAAGCTTTTTAAGCACTGATAAAATCCATAAAAAGAGCATCTTTATCTTGGTCTGCTGGGGTAACCTGGGGTTCAGTAAATGGGACTGTTCTGCCCTCACAAAATCCCAGAATCACTGAGGATAGAAAAGACCTTTAGGATCATSGAGTCCAAACATCAACCCAGCACCCTGTTCACCACTAACCACRTCCCCAGGTGCCACATCCATGWRTTTTCTGARCTTCCAGAGATGCTGATTCCATCCCTGCTCTGGGCAGGCTGTTCCAACACTTTAYMACCCTTTCCATGCAGAAATTTTCCCTCATTTTCAATCTAAACCTCCCCTGGTGCAGCTTGAGGCTGAGTTCAGGGTCTGATTCTCCCTCAGCTCAGTTTTGGATTGAACTCCCTGTCCCTATTCTAGGCCTGGGAAGATTCTGCTTCCCTGATTTGCCAAATGATGAAAAGAGACCTCAGATGTGGAGAGCAGCTGCAGATCCATAGTATTGACTTTTTTTTTGACACGCTGTTTATCTGGTTAAGTGGATGGTATTTATAAATCAGGCTGCAGTGGCAATCCTGGTGCTTTCTGAACGTCTCCTTTTCAGTTGAATTCAGTAATTCAAGATTGTTGTTCCCAGCTGAAATTTTCTGTTCAGTTTGTTGGGATAAGTGAAGGTAGGATGGGATTTTGTTGGGATGGATTCCACAGAGGCTGAGTGGAATGAGCTGTGTGTTGGTTGGGATGCTTGTATTGAATTTTCACTCTACAAACCTGCAGGAATCACGCAGATCTGCTTTTTGAAAACTATTTCCGTGCCTTTCCCCCATTGTTTGCAGTGACAAACCTCAGTGCCTTTTATAGAATTGTAAAGACTTTTTTTGTTCTTATTTCCCTGTCTTTATAATGGTTATAATACCACTTGACTATTTTGGTGTTGCTGTAGGAGGATTTGGTGCTTGCATGTTACAGTAATTGATGCTCTGTAAAAGGAGATGTTTTTAACTTCACATAACCATCAATTAAATACTGTTACCCACGTGGAATGCAGGGATTTAATTTATTTTTGCAGTATTGTCCTTCTTCACAACACCACACAGCAAAGGTAACTGCTTCAAACTTGCCAAAATTCAGTGCCCTTCCCTGCTAGGACGTGTGAGTGCACTCCAGCTGTGGTGGCATCACTTTGGAGCCAAATTCCGGCCTAAAGAAATAAATCCTTGCTGTTATAGTCCTTAGAAAAGTGAAAAACAAAAGTGAGGATTACGTGTGGTCCCAAATTCYACCYYCACTTACGGCTTTTGTACAAACGTRTCGAACACAGCTCTTCAAACTCTCTCAAAAATCCTTCTGAACTGAAAAATCAACAAATCAACACTGAGAAACGTTGGCAAAGTTCTTCTGTGACCTGTCTGTGCCTCTGTTCCTTGCAGGCTGTTACGGGATCCGTCCAGAGCTGGTGAATGAGAGTTGGTCGTGCTCGCGRTGCTCAGCCGGCGCGTGGGCAGCGGTGAGGACTGGGGACAGCACCCTTCCCTCTGAATCCTGCTGGGATCACTCAAATATGGGTGCTGGGAGGGTTCAGATTGCCTTTGGCATCCCAGCTGGGGTACAGTCATTTTTTTGGGGGGTCTGGCAGAGCGTTCTGATGGTTTTCTGAAGGAGTTGTGTTCCCGCAGGAATGTTGCCTGTGCAATCTCAGGGGAGGAGCTCTCCAGATGACCACTGATGGCCGGTGAGTGATCCCTTGGAGTGTTTTTTCCTTCCTTGCTGCCCCTATTCCTGTGGATTTGGTTGAAATCTCACTGCAGCAGCAAGATTTGGTTGAAATCTCAGTGCAGCAGCAAGTTTTGGTTGAAATCTCAGTGCAGCAGCAAGTTTTGGGGTTCTGGAGGGAGCTGCTCCTTGCTGATCTGCAGGATGAGCCCAAGTGGCTATGCTGAGCAGAGTTCTGATCACTAAATGTGGTTGTTTCTCAGAGAAAAATCTTCTCAGAGAATGTTCAATATCATGCAAAATCAGGTGCAAAAGCAGGTTGATCTCTGTTGTTGCAGAGTGCTGCCTTGGAGTGTGTTTTCCTTCCACACTGCCCAGTCTCCTTGTCTTGTGGATTTGGTTAAAATTTCAGTGCAGCAGTGAGTTTTGGGGTTCTGGAGGGAGCTGCTCCTCGCTGATATGCAGGATGAGCCCAAGTGGCTATGCTGAGCAGAGTTCTGATCACTGAATGTGGTTGTTTCTCAGAGAAAAACCTTCTCAGGGAATGTTCAGTATCCTGCAAAATTCAGGTGCAAAAGCAGGTTGATCTCTCTTGTTGCAGAGTGCTGCCTTGGAGTGTGTTTTCCTTCCACACTGCCCCAKTCTCCTTRTCTTGTGGATTTGGTTAAAATTTCAGTGCAGCAGTGAGTTTTGGGGTTCTGGAGGGAGCTGCTCCTCGCTGATCTGGCAGGATGAGCCTGTGCTGTCTTACCTGTACCAGGCTGCTCCACAGCAGAGCTTCTGATTCCTTACTGAATGTGGTTGTTTCTCAGGGAAAAGTCTACTCAGGGAATGTTCAATATCATGCAAAATCAGGTGCCAAAGCAGGCTGATCTCTGTTGTTCCAGAGACATTTACCCTGTGCCACCCTGATTAACAGTCAGGTGGGAAGGTTGCCAAGGCTGCCAGCCCCTTGGAAACGTGCCTGGATGCTGAGGGAGGCAGGGAAATGTTAACTGCCCTCCTGAGCATTTCATTCAAATAACAGCAGGCCCTGATTTGTGTGTTCTTTGCTCCCCAGGTGGGTCCATGTCATCTGTGCTATTGCTGTCCCCGAGGCGCGTTTCCTCAACGTCATGGAGCGTCACCCGGTGGATATCAGCGCCATCCCGGAGCAGAGGTGGAAACTGGTGGGTGTCTTTTACCTGGGGAGAGTGTTTGGGAGCAAAAGCCAAAGGGAAAAGCTGTAACTAAACTGAAAATCGTGTGTGGGTTCATAAAGCAGCTGAGATTGGAGGCRGCCCCGCTCTCATTTCCAAACAAAAGCCCCGGGAAGCTGCGTCTGCTGAGCTCTGTCGGTGCTTTGACACWCAAACAGCTCTGATTTCCAGATGTGCCTTCACTCTCTGGGAGTGTGCTGTGCCCTGGGCAGAGCCTGGGACTCCCTCCCACCTGCAATCAGGTGTAAACTGCCTGAAAGTTTCATTTTTTCCCCGTTTTGCACAGCGGGAATGCCAAGGGACGTGGTGACTGGAGAGAAGCTGATACATTGCTGCCTCGTTCACCTCTAATTCATCTTTCTTCACAACATTTCTCTTTTTTCTATCAAGAGATCTCTTGCAGAAATGAATAAACATTTCTRTGACCCTGGCTGCAAGGATTTTAATACGAGCCCAGCTCTGAGTTGTTATTTGGCTGCGTGGCCTCATCCCAGGGATTAGTAATGGACGATTCATTAGCTCAGAGCAATTTATCTTAATGTTAGTTAATGCTCCATCACCATAGTGTGTTATTGCAAAATAAATCGTGCTTTTGCTGCTTTTTTTTGGTGCAGAAGTCAGCTGGGTGACACAGTGTGGGCCGGGGAAGGTGCTGGAGCAGTGATAGATGAGTTAGCTCTGATGGATTCGTTCACAGAGCTGCTCCTTAGTGCAGGGAACCCGGGTGAGAGATTAGGAAGAGCCTATCCCCGCTTCCAGAGTTATTCCTCCGTTGTGCAAATGGGTTCTGTACACAAATGTGAATGTAAAAAGCATCCATTATTCAGGAGGAGCGATGGGGCAGCGCGATGCCGGGGTGATAAATCTTGCAGCGGGGGCTCTTTATGGATCAGCTGACACTTCCAACGTGCATCCTCTTCATTACCAGCACTTGTAAYGCTGAACTTAAAATCCTTTTACACAAGACTCACTTGTATTGCTTAATGGAGCCTCACAAGGAAACATGGCTTAATTTTTTAACCCTTCCTTGGCTGCAGAGCCAGGGCAGTGTCTGTGTGTGGCWGATTCTGCTGCTTTGTTTTGATCTGAAATGTTGGCTGTGCCTTTCAGAGCCTCTGCATGGACCCACTGCACACCTTCTCCTTTATTCCTCAGTTAAAACTGCAGAGTTTCACAGGATCACTGAATATCCTGAGCTGGAAGGGTCCCACAAGGATTATCAGTCCYRCACAGACACCCCAAYAATCCCACCCTGAGAGCTCTGAGGAAAAAATTCTATTTGATTTCTTCTGTTGTATTCCAGTTTCACCTCCTGTTGTCTTCCTGTCTCAGGGAATGTGGAGGATTTTGGTGTGAAGTGTCTTGGCTTCCAGTGCTGGGATTTASAGGCACATATTCCTTGTGCTGCTGTTAGCCAAAGCCTGGCTTGTAGCCCTGATGCCAAAGCCTGGCTTTAAGCCCTTCACTGGGAAAATGTTGGGGTTATGAATTAGGTGAGGATTAAATAATTAATTTGGATGGCAGTGGTGCTTCCAGCAGCAGCTGTGGGGTACAAAGGGGGTTCAAATGGGACAAGATTGTGTGGAGAAACTCATGAACCATCATGGGGAGTTCCMGGATTATTCAGAGGAATTTGCAGGTAATTTCTGGAGCAGTGAAGGGGTTGGGGGTGTCTGTGCTTTGCAGGTGAGCAGCTGCATTTAGGGAGATAAACTGAGGGTGACTAAAAAGTAATGGTATTGGAGCTTCTGGCTTTGGCAATGATGGACTTGGTGCAGTTCTTGATAAAATTGGGGAGATGACCTTTGTGGCTGAAAGAAATGGAAAAGGAGAGCAGGAATGACATGAAGGGTGAATGGATGAGGCTGGTGGAGGAAAGAGGAGTAGGAGTTATCCATGATTAGTATTTAATTTTTAATGTATTTGTATTATTTTAATTTCCTGTGAGAGGGCTGGGGCACCAAGGAGTTGCAGTGATGTGGTTAAAGATATTTCCTSTTCTCCAAGCATGTACTCCCCTGGTTTTTCAGTCCATCTGTGGGTACGTGGCACTGTTTTCAGGAATGCAGTTCCCTGCTCCCAGATTGATGGCACATTACGGGCCCGCGCGCGTCAATTATTTATGACGTGGAAATTTGGAATAATTAGCTGTCATTCCTCRGTGGAGTAAATGAATTGCAGCGTTCATCATGCAGGAGACAGCCCATTTCTTACTCTCAGCTGTGACCTGACTCTGGTGTGCATTTATCCCGAAGATTTCTCTCCTGTGCTTTGGAGTCTTTTCCCTCCCACAGAAAATGCCTTTAAATCTCCAGGTGCTGTTTCCCCACAGTGCTTGGTGCTGCTGGTTCTGTCCATCCCATCTCCCACACTTCAGGAGATGCATTTTCATACAACCCCACATTGGTTTGGGTTGGAAAGGATCTTAAAATCCACCCAGTGCCACCCCTGCCATGGGTAGGGACAGCTCCCACTGTCCCAGGGTGCTCCAAGTGTGTCCAATCCATCCTTGGGCACTCCACAGCTTCCTGGGCACCCTGTGCCAATGTTTTACCACCCTCACAGCCAAAAATTGTCACTTCCTCCATCTCCAGGCTCACTGTTCCTTTTATTTATCTCTTATCATATTTGAATATCCCATTGTGTTGTCACAGTCAGTTTGTGGGGGCACTGGGTGTGTGCTGATCCCAGCTTGGCAAAGCCCTGTTGGCACCAGGAAAGGCAAATTCCTGCCCTGGGGGGAGRTTTAATGCCCCCTGAGCCCCTCGGGGATCAGCAGCTGTCCCTGCTGCTGGGACAGGGAAATATGGACAGCTCCATAATGGGATCTGTGCTGTTGTGCCCTTTCCTGGTGCTTATCTGCCTCTGGAACATGGTTTGCACAGTGATAAAGACTCAGCTTATTAAAGGCTAAACCCAYGTCCTGGCAGCACTCGGGCTCTGCCTTTGAATTTCCTGGCTTTTGTTCATTTGTGAAAAAAAGGCAAATTAATCTTCGGTGTAAACAAACTGCCTTCAGTTCATTCCTAGGGAGGAATGGGACTCATTTCCTATAAATGGGGGGCAGAGCCAGGCAGGGAGGGGTTGTTGCACTGGAATGAGGAAGAACAAATCTCCTTTTTCTTTGGCATTTTTTGCTTTTAGGGAAGCAAGGAGGAGAAATCCCAAAATGGTTTGGGTTGGACAGGATCTTGAAGGTTTTAGAGTTCCCCCTCTGCCATATGCACCTTCTGTTCCTTTTAACCAGTGAAAGGCACATTTGTCTCATGTGTGTGACATTAATTTTGCCCTGATTTGCTTTTTCCAGCCTCAGATAAGGTAAARAAGCTGCCCCTGGATCCCTGGAAGTGTCCTAAACCAGGTTGKACAGGGCTTGGAGCACCCTGGAGTGGTGGAAGGGTGTCCCTGCCATGGCAGGGGATCTGTGGGATGAGGTTTTAATTCTTTCCAGCCCAAACCATTCTGGGATTTGCAAATCAGTGACAAATTCCTTCACCTGGAAACGTTAAAAACTGAGTGGTGTTTCCAGATGGATCCCTGGAAACGTTATCCAAGCATCCATTCTTTAGATTGGGATTCCCTAAATCTCATTTTCTGTGTTTCTGAGGGGTTGGAAACAAGAATTGGTGCTGTTATAGGGAGTGAGGAAATGTATCCTGTTCCCACTCCAGCTCCTGCTCACTGTCAGTGCCATCAGGCTTAGAATTTTTAGCTTTGAGAAAATGGAATTTCTTTTTAAAGCAGTCACACGTCTTACAGTGATTTCCCTAATAACTGGATCTGCTTTGCAGAAAATGAGTGTAAAAATGGCTCCAAGATTTCAGAGCTTCCCCCCACTGTAATTCTGGTGTTTTGGTACAATGTTTTTATTTCTTTTCTTTGCAAAACTGACTGAATTATCTACAGTGGCTCATCTGACATGGATGCCAATAAAATATTTATGGTTGATATGCTTATGCATCTCAAATAAACACACAATATTTTGGTTCCATTATSTGAAATTATATTCCATGAGATCTAATCGATAAAATGTTCCATTAAATATAATAGAGCAAATTGCCACCCAGTTACTGCGTTCTGTTCTTTCAAAATAAAAGAAAATGTTATTTTCCAGCAGTGAAGATCCAGCTGCTGCTGGAATTAATGTAATGTGGGTGCACTGCTGTACCTGAGGAGGGTGAGGATGGAGGTGCAGCAGCTCTCTGTGCCTCTTGRGTGGTTTTTTTGCTCTCCAGTGATCCCAGTCCAAACTGGAGTCCAGTCTGTCCGTGGCTGGAGGAGGGCTGAGTGATTGGGCTGGAATGGTCAGGCAGGGAATGACAATCTCTGCTGCAGTTCCTTGGCCTGCAGTGACCTCAGGGAGTGCTCACAGCCAGCCCTGGCTCCTTGGCAGAGAAATCCCTTGGGCTGTGCCTTCTGGGCTGGGCATGGAATCCCAGAGCCTGCACCGTGCCAGGCACCGGTGCCACACGGAGCTGGGGGAGCTCTGCACTGCTGCAGGCTCTGCTCCTGTCC